AAAAAAAAAAAAACAAGAACTAAACAACACAACACTACAAGTCTACAACAATTAAATATAACAATACCCTCCTCTCCACAGAAGAGCAAACTGCAGCACAGCAAGGCCCGACACCAAGTGACAATCGCCAACTCAAATATGACTCCGGCTCGAGCACTGCTCCAGAAATTCCATTGCAGCCACAGCTAGCTATAACTGTAGTAGACAGCCAAAATCTTTCTCCTAGACTATTATACCTAGAGTTGTAACCTGCCCGACACCCGGTGGCAATTCACTTTCAGAATGGGAATACTTTTTTATTTATTTATTTATTTATACAAAAACATCATCAAAATCATCAACATCAACATACCCAGTATATTCCCAAACAGGTTGGAGTCTGAGAGGTCAGTTGTACGCAGACCTTACCCTTGTAATTATACAAGGAGACTGTTTCCATAGCGACCCAAGGTGCATTGCGTCGTTTGATATATTTTTTCTAGAAACTTCACAAATAGAAGAAGCACTAGAATTTAATTGAGCCATTTTGATCTAGTCCATTATTTGCACGATGCCAGAAGAATTGTCAACATTGACTCTTCCAGCTCCATTATTTGCACGATGCCAGAAAAATTGTCACGATTAATTACATAAAATCACAGGACAACCACAAAAGAAGAGTTTTAGCAAACACAAATCATCTCACAAATGCACAAAGCACCCTAAACTTCAAAACACACCATTGCTAGAAAACTGTCGACCCCATCGTCCTCAACGAACCCGCGCCTCCCCCTTTCTCAACTGGGCCCACGCACAACCCGCGGTGAAAACAGGGCCCCACCCCTCCTCACCTTCCCGGGAAACTCCCCAACGACACTACTATTGTTGTTACTACCGTTACTATTACTTCCCTTTATCGACGCACTTTTCCTGAACTTGAGCGAGAGCAAGGCACTCCCACCGTTGCTCCTTGCACCCGGCACACAGTCACACCCCCACGGCCTGCAACGGTTCTCGTGGGGCCCACCGCTCTCGTCGGGGGAGCGACAGACTGGGCACGGGGGGTCGTGCGTGGTCTGGTCGAGGCAGTCGGCGTGGAACACGTGGCGGCACGCGAGGACGCCGGCGACAGGGGCGTCCCCACCGTGGATGATCGCACGGGACCCACACGGGGACCTCTGGGAGAGGAGCCTCCCGCACAGGCAGCACCGGGAGGAGCGATAGTCACCGGCCTCGGGACGGGAGAAGGAGAGGGGGTGGACGGCCTTGGGCATGAAGCTGCGGCGCGTATTGCGGTGGTGGGTTCGGACAGCCGGCTCGTGGTCGCAGCTGCTGTCTGAACGGGATGACATTGACCCCTCGCTGTTTCTGGCTTCCGATGTTCCCTGCATTCAATTTTTTTTTTTTTT